CTGACTATAACTCAACTGGCCCCTGTAACTGACCTATAACCTCCTGGCCCCTGTAACTGAACTATAACTCTCCTGGCCCCTGTAACTGACCTATAACTCCTGGCCCCTGTAACTGACCTATAACTCAACTGGCCCCTGTAACTCACCTATAACTCTCCTGGCCCCTGTAACTCACCTATAACTCTCCTGGCCCCTGTAACTCACCTATTACTCTCCTTGCCCCTGTAACTGACCTGTAACTCTCCTGGCCATAGTAGCTGACCTATAACTCTCCTGGCCCCTGTAACTGACCATAACTCTCCTGGCCTCTGTAACTGACCTATAACTCTCCTGGCCCCTGTAACTGACGTATAAATCTCCTGGCCCTTGTAACTGACGTTTAACTCTCCTGGCCCTTTAACTGACCTATAACTCTCCTGGCCCCTGCAACTGACCATAACCTCCTGGCCCCTGTAACTGAACTAAAACTCTATTGGCCTCTGTGACCTATAACCTCCTGGCCCCTGTAACTGACCTATAACTCTCCTGGCCTCTGTAACTGACCTATAACCTCCTGGCCCCTGTAACTGAACTATAACCTCCTGGCCCCTGTAACTGACCTATAACTCTCCTGGCCCCTGTAACTGACCTATAACTCAACTGGCCCCTGTAATTGACCTATAACTCTCCTGGTCCCTGTAACTGACCTATAACTTTCCTGGCCCCTGTAACTGACCTATAACTTTCCTGGCCCCTGTAACTGAACTATAACTCTCCTGGCCCTGTAACTGAACTATAACCTCCTGGCCCTGTAACTGACCTATAACTCTCCTGGCCCCTGTGACCTATAACTCTCCTGGTCCCTGTAATGACCTATAACTTTCCTGGCCCCTGTAACTGACCTTAACTTTCCTGGCCCCTGTAACTGACCTATAACTCAACTGGCCCTTATAACTGACCTATAACCTCCTGGCCCCTGTAACTGACCTATAACCTCCTGGCCCCTGTAACTGTAACTGACCTATAACTCTCCTGGCCCCTGTAACTGACCTATAACTCTCCTGGCCCCTGTAACTAACCTATAACTCTCCTGGCCCCTGTAACTGACCTATAGCTCTCCTGGCCCCTGTAACTGACCTATAACTCTTCTGGCCCCTGTAACTGAACTATAACTCTCCTGGCTCCAGTAACTCATCTGTAACAACCATTTAACTCTCCTGTAACTCCTGGCCTCTGTAACTCACCCACCCCTTTTACCTCACCTGTAACTTCCATGTAACTCTCCTGTTTCTCGCATGTAATTCCTGTAACTCAAGCCTGACCCTTAACCTGACGTTTTACTCACTCACTTGGCCCCTGTAACTCCCATGTAACTCTTCTGTCCCCTGTAACTCACCTTTAAATTTACTGTAACTCTCACTGTTAGATACCCGGCGTCACTCACCACTGGAATAAGGTTAGGGATGAGGCAGGAAGACCTAAAGCATCATATTCAAAGGTTAGGTTACGTTAGGTTAGGTTAGGTTAGGATACGTTAGGTTAGGTTACGTTAGGTTAGGTTACGCTAGGTTAGGTTAAGTTACGTTACTTTAGGTTAAATATGTTTAGAGTAAATTAAGTTAGGTGACGTTAGTTTAGGTTAGTTTAGGTTCCGTTTGGTAAAGTTCAGTATGGTTAGATTAGGTTAAGTTACGTGAGGTTAGGTTAATTTAAGTCACGTTGCTTTAGGTTAAGTATGGTTAGGGTAGGTTACGTTAAGTGAGGTTTATTTAGGTTAGGTTATGTTAGGTTAGGTTAGGTTAGGTTAGGTTAGGTTAGGTTAGGTTAGGTTAGGTTAGGTGAGGTTAATTAAGGTTAGGTTAGGTTAAGTAAAGTTAGGTGAGGTTAGGATAGGTTAAGTTAGGTTATGTAATGTTGAAGTGTAACGGGTAAGAAGTCTATTATAGTGTGTGTGTGTGTGTGTGTGTGTGTGTGTGCGCGTGTGTGTGTGTGTGTGTGTGTGTGTAAACATTCCAACAACAAACAACTCAAATCCGAGTGCTGAATGGAATATCCTCGACGCTGTCATCACAAAAACGTGCACAAGTCTCTCGGCCAGCTCGAAAGTAAATACCAGTACTGGTTTGATGAAAATAACCAGGGAATTGACGTATTCGTCAATGGTAAACGTGCCGATTTCACTGACTGGCAGTGCAACCCTCGGTCTCGGACCAAAACTGATTGATACCTTACGCGGGAAGAAAGAGATGGTCCAGCGGGAACTTCTCGATCTAAAAAACGAACGGTGGAAAAATAAAAGTGTGTGGAACGTAGAAAATTGCGGATCAACAACAAGATGAGTGAATTTTTTATTCCACTAAAACATTGTATGGCCCAAATACTCATGGAGAGGCCCCTTCCACACATCTGACGATAACTCCCTAATTAAAGAGCACTACCCTTCCCTGCTCAGCCAAAGCACCTACAGTATGTAGATGTCCTGACTACCCAGCGGGTCCCTCAGTACCCAGAGCTGACCCACCTTAGAAATCTTTTATCCCGGGATGAGGTAGCTACTGTCATCATGCAGAATAAAAATAACAAAGCCACAAAGTCTGATGGAATCCCAGCTGAGGTGTATAAAGCAGGAGGACCTCTGCTTACCAGCCGTCTCCACTCTCTCCTAGAGAAAATATGGGAGAAGGCGGAAATTCCCCAAGCTTTTAAAGACGCCTTCATCGTCAATATTTATAAGAGCAATGGAGGCTGGTTAGACTGTAGCAACTACGGCGGGATCTCGCTGCTGTCCATAGCTGGCAAGATTATCACCTGAGTCCTCCTAAACAGACTTCTTCCTGAGGAAGAAAACTTCCTCCCAGAATCTCAATGTGGCTTCAGACCAATGACATGATCTTTGCTGCCCGCCAGATACAGGAAAAGTGCAGAGAACAGCGTTGTGACCTGTACATGGCCTTCATCGACTTTACGAATGTCTTCGATTCAGTCAACAGGGAAGCCCTCTGGCGGACCCTCAGTCGTTTTGGCTGCTCACCAAAATTAAAAATTCATTGCCATTGTGAGGCAATTCCACGATGGTATGAACGGCAGTGTCCTACACAATAGCACCCAGTCCGAGGTTTTCCTCATCCAAACGGGGGAAAACAAGATGTGTGCTGGCACCAACTCTCTTTTTACATTTTCTTGGCTACCTTCCTTACTCGTGCCAGTGCTAATTTAGCCGGCGGGGTGGACATTCAGTACCGGAGGAAGGTACTTTCCAACATAAGACGACTTAGGGAAAGAACAAAGGTGTCGGCCGCTTCCATCACTGAATTTCAGTATGTAGACGACCACACCTTCGTTGCTCACACTGAACACGACCTCCAGGATATTCTGAACACCTACGCAAATGCATATACACACTTCTGACTTGAGGTGAATGTACGTAAGACTCAGATTCTCTTTCAGCCTTCCCCTGTTTCAGCCATTCCTCTACCATCCATTCAGGTTAACGGTACTACCCTCTCTAATGTTATCCACTTCCAGTACCTTGACTCCCACCCGTCCACCACTGTGGACATCGATGAAGAGATTCAATATCGGATCAAATGTGCATCTCAAGCCTTTGGCGGACTATATACCCCTGTCTTCTGGTGAAGGGAGCTAAAATTATCTACAAATTTGCACATATATCGATCAGTGGTCCTCCTTACTCTGCTGTATTGCAGTAGTACGTTCCATCCTCCGAGTTCGCTGGGAAGACAAGAGAACAAATGCCAGTTTTCTCTTTCATCATCTGTAGGAGCATCTAGGCTACCATTATCCACGAACATTTGCCTTGAACTGTCCATGTTACCCGCACTGACGACAGTAGACTGCCAAAGCAGCTAATTTGCAGTCATTTAACAAATAGCAAACGTAACGCTGGCGGAAAACGGAAAATGTATGAGGATAGTCTTAACACAAACCTGAAAAAGTGCCAAATCGACCCTCTCACCTGGGAGACGATCACTCCACACCGTAGCTCTTGAAGGAGCACCATAGGAGGTGTCAATACTTTCGAGTTAGCCAGACTGCATACCAAGGCAGACAAGCTGCAGCGCCGTCAAGACGCTGCCGCCACCGCTCCCGCACTAGATGTAGCCCCCCACATGTGTAACATCTGTGAACGGTCCTGCTGGTCCCGTATCGGCCTCACGAGTCACCTCAGAGCTTACCAACCAAGGTGACATCTTTAATAGCTCATTTCATTGTATCATAGCTGGATGATCGCCATACTTGATTCCGAGTGATAGCAAAGTAGTAGCAGTAATGATGTGTGTGTGTGTGTGTATGTATGTGTGTGTGTGTGTGTGTGTGTGTGTACACACCTTCATAATCCTACGCCACCTACGACAAACATTCACACACATGCACATCAATGCACACACACACACACACACACACTTTTCCAAAAATCGTGTGGAGAAAGTTAGATGAAAGTAAGAAAATATATAAAAGTTTTTTGTGCAACCAAATAAAAACGTCTATGGGGAGATAAAATTCCTGAGAGAGAGAGAGAGAGAGAGAGAGAGAGAGAGAGAGAGAGAGAGAGAGAGAGAATTGGTATAAAGTGGTTCTGGCCCGTAGATAAAAACGTGAGTCAGGAGGTGTCTGGAGGTGGGCGGTGTGTTGACGGGTTTTTGCGTGCGTGAGCGTGTGAGTGCGTGTCCTAGGGCGTGCCAGGTTCATATATGTCCGTCAAATCTGTCAAGTTGCTGTCTAATTCGCACGCGATGTCACACACACACACACACACACACACACCCACACACACACACACACATCCTTGCGTCTCAATTTTGTCTCCCTGATTTTGACAGCCACAGACGAGGCGGCTGGTCCCGGAAATAGCAAGGCGGCGATTGGTTGAAGAAAGTCCGCCTCCGTGGTGTGATTGGTGCGTTTTGTCACTGGGCGGTGAAGTGGGCGGGGTGTGGGCGGGGCAGCAGGTCGGGCTCCCTCCGTCGCTCCCTCTTGTTGCTCCCTGAGATAAAATGAAACACATTCGCGGAACAAAATTTGTGTAAAGGCTCCTCAAAGAGATTAGTTAGCGTCGAGTGTAAATGGAATTTGATGGTGGGTGAGTGTAGTGAGGTGGATGTTGTGGTTGTGGTGGTGGTAGTGGCAGTGGCCGGGGAAAAGAGCGACGGTGTGAGGACTGTGGTAAAGGCAGCAGCGCGGGAGTTCAGTGTGGTGGTGGAGGTGGTAGTGTGGTGGTGTATGGTCGTGTTGATGCTGCCGCCGCCGCTGTGCCGTTGCTGTTAACCTCAGCCTCCCTGCGGTCATCCCCAGCAGGTGAGTCTCCTTCTAACACCTATTGTGAGGACTTGTTGTTTCCGCGTTGATGACTTTGCTGCCATGGTGAAGCTGCGGCGGTGGTGGGCGTGTGATTGGGTAGGTGAAGCATGGACAGGTGAGGTGAACCAGGGCGGCGCCCACCCTGCGGGCGTGTAGGGAGGGTTGTGACGCTCCCGGGTGTGTGAGGGCTCCGGGGACCCCGCGGGGCCGGGAGGGTGTAAGCTGATCCGCTATTATGTCAGGCCAGGGTCGCTCCCCCGCCCCACACCCGCTACCCCACCCATTCAAAAGGACAATCCCAGTGGGAATGTTCGTTACCGACCAACACCATCCGCCCGGCCGCCCACCAGCCGCCTCTGACCTGGCCAGGCCGCCCATCAGCCGCCTCTGACCCTGCGAGGCCGTCCATCACTAGCCTCTAACTTAACCGAGCCACCCATCAGTAGTCGCTAACCTAGGCAAGCCACCCACCAGCCGCCCCTGACACACCAGACCGACCTCAAGCCTCCGGTGACCAACCAGGCCGCCCACTAAACTCCCCTAACCTAGCAAGCCGCCCGCTAACTTGCCGTGAACCACCAGCCGCCCATTGACCCCTTATCCTCACTAGACCGAACAATTCTTGCTGGTTAATATTCGCCATCTGGTCAATATTCCCGTTCTGGTCAGTATTCCCGTTTTGTTCAATATTCGCCATCTGGTTGTTATTCGCGTTCTAGTCAATAATCGCAGTCTGGTCAATATTCGCGTTCTGGTCAATATTCGCAGTCTGGTCAATATTCGCGTTCTGGTCAATATTCGCCAGCTGGTCAATATTCCCGTTCTGGTTAATATTCGCCACCTGGTCGCTAGTCGGGGTCTGGTCGATTCATGGCTTGATCTGGGCGATATTCGTGGTTTGATTTGACGATTCTTCATTTAGTTTGGTCGATATTCGTGGTTTCTTCTTAGAAATCCTCGTTGTCTAAATTGGGGGAATATTTCGTGGTTTCTTCTTGGTAAGATTCGTGGACCGGTCGATGTTCGTAGCTTTGCTCTCGTCAATATTCATAACTTGGTGTACTCAGTATGTGTTAGTCTGGTGGATATTAGTGGTGCCGTAGGCGACGCTTACCACCAACTGCCTCTATCACATGTCATCTTACTGATTCACTCTAGGTACACATACAGGTACAGGTACAAGTACAGGTACACCTACAGGTACAGGTACAAATACTGGTACAAGTACAGGTACACATACAGGTACAGGTATAAGTATAGGTACAGTGGTACACATACAGGTACAGGTGTAAGTACAGGTACACATACAGGTACAGGTACACGTACAGGTACACATACAGGTACAGGTACAAGTACAGGTACACATACAGGTACAGGTACAAGTATAAGTACAGGTACACATACAGGTACAGGTACACTTACAGGTGCACACACAGGCACAGGTACACACACAGGTACAGGTACACATACAGGTACAGGTAAACTAGGTACAGGTGCACACACAGGCACAGGTACACACACAGGTACAGGTACACATACAGGTACAGGTAAACATATAGGTACAGGTAAACATACAGGTATAGGTACACACACAGGTACAGGTACAAGTACAGGTACACATACAGGTACAGGTACACATGCAGGTACAAGTACAAGTACAGGTACACATACAGGTACAAGTACAGGTACACATACAGGTACAGATACAAGTACAGGTAGACATATAGGTACAAGTAAAAGTACAGGTACACAACAGGTACATATACAAGCACAGGTACACATACAGGTACACATACAGGTACAAGTACATTTACACATACAGGTACAAGTAAAGGTACAATTACAGGTACAGGTACATATACAGGTACACATACAGGTACAGGTACAACGATATAAATTAATTATAGTTTACAGTATAATAATCTGTACACCTGCTACAACCATCAGTATAACACTACAGTTTACACTCTGCTTGTACACACACACACACACACAATACAGTCAAATAAAGAACATACAGTATTTGGGATTTGTGTTATTTACTTCACATCAAATGTTGAGGATGGTTGTGTTATATACTGCCTGACTCAATACCCCACTGGAGGCTTCTTCTATTAATATTTGTAGAGAATACTGTACTGTGGTCGTCAATTATGTGGTCAAATGATTACTGAATATTGGCAACGGTGTGTAGTTAAGGTCATTAATGAGTGATTCACCCTTAATGAGCTTCCCTTGTGCAGTATTAATTGGTGGTAATGTTGTTCATTAATTTACGGTTGGTTGTCGCCTGGTGAGCGCTGACTACTTCATAGTTAACATTATTCTTCCTTGCTGTTGACCGAAAGCGCCTTAAGACAATTGACCACTACGGCTAACGTTACCATTAGTTGCCAATAATGTAGCCTTTCTATTATTAATCAATGGAAGTAACGTCACCAAGGTACCACTAGGCACAATAAAAGGACGCCATTAATTACATCATAAGAGTCTCGGTGTAAGTTTGACGCCATTCTATTCACCGTTTAATTGAATTGGTTTAAGGACCCAATCAGGAAGTTTCTCAGTGAAGTGAAAAATATAATCCAGGAGTTGTAGCGGCCTCTAAAATGACTCGAATTGTAACTATAATTTTCAAATGTTTTAAGTAATTTTTTAAGAATATTTGTAACTCAAGATTTAAAAAATTATATCATACAATCAAATTACAATGACTCCTGATTTTTAAAGTATGGTAAAGAATGCAAAAAATATATACTGTATAGTAATCTAATATAATCTTTACAAAATTAATAAAAATATACTGTGTATATTTTCCCCACCGTGTACACATGTTAAAAAATGCAGTTGTTTATATTTTTTGTCGGTAACTTTGCAGAATATGGACAACATATTTTTACTGAAAACTTTCGTAGAACTGTTTGAAATAGTTTAGTTGTTTACGTGTGGTTGGAAAGTTGAAGGTCCTTGTTAATGTTATTATCTATTCGCTGTTGTTGTTGTTGTTAAAGATAATATTCATACTGTTGGGGTTGTTATATGAGGTTCACTTTGTTCCTGATGTTGATTTTATAATGTATTACTGCGCTTCAATAACTAAAGTCTTGATACTGATGTTATAATGTATTACTGCACCTCAACAACTAAGGTCTTGATGTTGATGTTATAAGGTATTACTGTGCTTCAACAACTAAAGTCTTGATACTGATGTTATAATGTATTACTGCACCTCAACAATTAAGGTCTTGATGTTGATGTTATAAGGTATTACTGCGCTTCAACAACTAAAGTCTTGATACTGATGTTATAATGTATTACTGCACCTCAACAACTAAGGTCTTGATGTTGATGTTATAAGGTATTACTGTGCTTCAACAACTAAAGTCTTGATACTGATGTTATAATGTATTACTGCACCTCAACAACTAAGGTCTTGATGTTGATGTTATAAGGTATTACTGCGCTTCAACAACTAAAGTCTTGATACTGATGTTATAATGTATTACTGCACCTCAACAACTAAGGTCTTGATGTTGATGTTATAAGGTATTACTGTGCTTCAACAACTAAAGTCTTGATGTTGATGTTATAATGTATTACTGCGCTTCAACAACTAAGGTCTTGATGTTGATATTATAATGTATTACTGTGCTTCAACAACTAAATTCTTGATGTTGATGTTATAATGTATTACTGAGCTTCAACAACTAAAGTCTTGATGTTGATGTTATAATGTATTACTGCGCTTCAACAACTAAGGTCTTGATGTTGATATTATAATGTATTACTGTGCTTCAACAACTAAATTCTTGATGTTGATGTTATAATGTATTACTGAGCTTCAACAACTAAGGTCTTGATGTTGATGTTATAATGTATTACTGCGCTTCAACAACTGAGGTCTTGATGTTGATGTTTTAATGTATTACTGCTCTTCAACAACTAAGGTCTTGATACCGATGTTATGATGTATTACTGCGCTTCAATAACTAAGGTCTTGATGTTGATATTATAATGTATTACTGCGCTTCAACAACTAAAGTCAGTCCTGATGTTGATGTTATAATGTATTACTGCGCTTCAATAACTAAGGTCTTGATGTTGATATTATAATGTATTACTGCGCTTCAACAACTAAAGTCTTGATACTGATGTTATAATGTATTACTGCACCTCAACAACTAAGGTCTTGATACCGATGTTATGATGTATTACTGCACCTCAACAACTAAGGTCTTGATGTTGATATTATAATGTATTACTGCGCTTCAACAACTATGGTCTTGATGTTGATATTATAATGTATTACTGCGCTTCAACAACTATGGTCTTGATACTGATGTTATGATGTATTACTCTGCTTCAACAACTAAGGTCTTGATGTTATAATGTATTACTGCGCTTCAACAACTAAGGTATTGTTGTTAGCCAACAATTTGCAGTCCATTTACTATATGTGCTGAAGAATTAATTTGGGTATTTTTTTATTATATACATTTTGCAGTTGTTTGTGAAGTTTTACTTTTATTTCTTGTAAATACAGAAACAATTGTATGATTTTATTTTTACGGCATAAAGAGTAATTATAATAAGTATTATGGTAAATGGTTGACTGTTACTGTTCGCTATAGTGGGGTTAAGTGATTTTTTTTTAATTTACCATATGTTGTTTTTATATTATATAGAACATTACACTATAGATTTAAATATAGTTAACTATAGCAAAATCTGTATACTGGGTGTTAGTTTCTTGTGGATAAACATTCCAAACGTCTGGTTAGAATATATAGCTAAAATATACACAAAATATATTAACAAATTACGACACTTCAAATATATATAAATGTCAACTGATTATCATATTATATAATTATGTTAAACTTGTCTAATATTGAAGTGTTTTATTTATTAGAATAGTATTTACAAATACTATTGTTAGAAATTTAATGTACTGTACAGCTCAATACAATGCTACACGAAAGCGCTAACAACACTAT